GTATGTATATAAATATATATGTATATAAATATAAATATATAAAATTATATGTAAACTTTAAATATATAAAATTGACTTATATACATGTGGACCAGAAATATCAATATATTGATAAGGACTGTATATGTGTATATATTGTAAAAATGAGATTTGGATATTTGCAGGCCGAGCGTATAATCGAAAGTCTCCAACCGATTGCACTATTTGGTGAGCTTTCAGTTTCACGACATTCGTGCTCGGCACGTGTCGTTCGGCCAGCTGAAATTGTCACCATCAACCAAAATCATTTCGTCGCAATTTATAATGTTCGTGCTCCACTTTTTGTAGACTACGTTACGCTTTAAAATTGCAATCATATTTTCGACATTTTACACAGTTTCACTGCTGCATTTTTTACAGACAAATATCCAGTTTATTCAGGCTAACAGATCTGAAATATACGGATGATATGGTTCACCAAAATCCGTACTTCGTTGATTTTTTGGAATTCAGGAAAAATCTCTTTTTGCTTTCGTTTCATTTTTATTTGCCAAACTCTTCCTCCAAAAAACCCGTTCACTTATAAGCTATCATTAATTTTATGTACAGAAAATCTTTTAGATTAACGGATCCTGCACAAAAATTTACAATGAATCTTTTCCACATAAACTTCACCCAATCGGTTTCAACACTAAATTCTTCACTAATGAGCGTAAAAATTGTTTAGTTATTTTTTTCAAAACAACTAGTATTTCGAGGTTTTTAAATATTCACCACAAAATCTTCCAAAAATACCCGGACGTAATCAGTAGTTTATTCGGTGATGAATATTCACTGGCATATTTACCGCAGAATAGATAGCTAACCAGTATGTCCGAGTATTTTCTTTGAAATATTAAAAGTACGAAATGTACTTTGCTGATTTAATTGAGCTGTTTTAGTGAAAGTTTAAATCGCCATTTCTTAGTGGATAATTCTCATGTTCACATCAGGAACTTAGGCACATTTTTTCCTAAACCTTCTTTCTTTAATTAATCTTCCTTCGACCAGCAACAGATTAGCTAATGTGGAAGATATCAACTAAGTATCATTTTATCTTAGCACGGATAACGAAAAGAATTGAGTAAAGTGGTGAGCGTTTTTTCTTTGGTCCGTAGAAAGCTAAATAGAGAAATATACGTGGAAAACCTGGAGCAGTTGTCAATTCACAGGCTGGTTCTCAGTTTATACATCAGCAGTTTTTCCATCTACTAAGATTTAGTAATTTTTACGTCCACACCAGTCCATGCGCCGAGAGTCAGTGGATGGACCCATCTTGCTCTTCTA